AGGAATAATTCAGAGAGAGAGAGAGAGAGAGGGTACCTTGAGGATTGCAAATAGGGGGTTCTTCAAAGAGAGAAAGAGCCAACTTTTTAAGAGCCAATCCAATGTCAATCAAAATAATCCCAGAGGAAGGATCAGAAACAATTATATCCTTCACTGGTAACCATAAAAAAAGCTCTTCTTGAGACAGACCCTCCACTCCAGTGAGTCCACCATAGCTTAGATTAGCCCTCACAACATTGTCAAAAAACACCCTGGTCTCAAACTTAGCCACTTGAAGTCGATCATTTTCATCAAGTTCATACGACTTCACTCCATTCTTGGGGAAAAGCCCTGCTGGCAAGCCTCTGCTTCTGAGGAGTTCATGAATGGAGCTTGAAGTTGTGGCTAAAGGATGGAGGAGGAGTAGATACAGCATCAGTGTATGTATCATGGTGGGCAAGAAGGGGGTGTGAAGAGTAGTCATGGTATTGAAATGAGAAAGCTGCAAGAGATTTTAACAGGGTTTTTGGAGTGATTGGTGGAGTGTACATCTCTGTTCCCTAAATTAACCTTGTATGCATAATTAAGAGGTGGGTAAGGGTGGGGTGGCTTATTATTGAAGAATACAGAGAGCTGAACAAACTTCTTTGTAGACAACTCTATGAAAGAGCTGCACCATTGTCTTGTCAGAAGTGATTTTACCTAATTATAAATGATTAGAGATAGATAAAATTGATTAAGAAAGAAGGGGCAATCTTGGTACTACAGTATTCAAGTGCGCCAAACACCTTACATTTGGCTTAAGCCAAAAGGTTGGTTGTGCATGAAAAATATAGGATGGCGTCAGTACTCAGAAGAAGCTTCACATTTTCTTTCCTGCATATCCTTTGTCGGAGACTACGAGGTTACACCTACTTTTCAACTTTCTCCTTCTGCATATATTGAAATTAATTTGATTTAAATATGAGAATATGCATAACAATTTTGCTACATTGACAGTTTTGTTGAATGTGATAGGCAATCGGCAGCTTAATTGAATAACACTTATTCAAATCAATTGCTAGATTTTTTGCACATCATGAGATGTCAACCAAGATGTCAAAAACGGATGTCAAAGTAGCTTTATTCTATGCCTAATATCAATCTTTTCATATCTACGCATTTACCATTATTTTAGCCTAAACATGCATGCATTTATATTACATTTAAGGTCAGAAGCGAGGTTGGGTCAAATTTAAAATATAAGGCTCCATAAACTGGCATAAATCAAGGATAAGGCGACAATGAAGAGAACATGACTAAATCATAAAACATTTAAGATTATATTATAAATTAATTAAATTGGAGATATGATTCATAATTATATTCTATTTAACCACTTTCTATCTCTTTTAAGACTTTCTAAAATCTCTCTAATAACGTATTGTGTCTGTCCTAACATTGATCTTCCTCTTCACTTCATTCTTTATTAATTCTTTTATCTTCTTTGTACTTAAATTTACTTTTCTTTTTTTGCATAAATCAAGAATGTTTTAATTTTACTTAATCCGTACGTTAAGCAAGTTGTAGAATCGGCTTATTAACCGCTTCACCCATAAGATGGGTATTCATTAGTTCAGTTGTAAGACAAACTAAACATTGTTGTGAATCCTTAATTGTATCTGTACAATTTGTCGTATTCAAGAAGTCCAATACAAGTTATACAACTAGATTCTTCACATCCACAAGCTGTCAACATATATATGGTAAGCCTCATTTATTCTGGATTTGGTGCCGATTATGCATAAAATTGGCAGAGTCAAATCATATACAGAAAGTAAAACGAGAATATGAACAATGTGGANTCTGGATTTGGTGCCGATAATGCATAAAATTGGCAGAGTCAAATCATATACAGAAAGTAAAACGAGAATATGAACAATGTGGAAGTTATCCAGATGAAGCATGAAAGCAAAGAAATATATTGACATAAGCCTTTCAAATGGAGTTGAATGAACTTAATGCAGCCATGAACTTTCATATTGAGGCTGCTGCACATTATAATAACCTCCATAGTTATGCACATTCTCCTGGTATCTTCCATCATTCCTCTCATCATAAGCTAATGGTGTACCGAACAGATAATCTGCAGCACTTTCCCATGGATTCCTTCTTCCTCCATGATCACAAACTGGGCAAATTTCATTCATTTTCTGATCTCTTTTGGCTAGGCAAGGCCAGTATCCAAATAAACTTTCACAAAGATCCATACATTCCAAACCAGAACCATATGGAATTTGACGAAATTGTCTCCCAATTTGCCCATTCTCAAATCCATTATTATGGTTGTATGGAGGCAATTCATCTCCTCTGTTCATGCCTAATTCTCCAATTTCACTGCCAACATCATCAATGTTAATCTTATCTCCATTTTCACTTTGGAGTTGTGGATCAGGTAATTCTCCAACTTTTTCACTGCCCACACCATCTAAGTCAATCTTGTCTACATTTTCACCCTGGGGTTGTGGATCAGTTTTGATTGCAATTTGTTTATCGTTTTCCCCATAAGGAGAAGGAATTGAGTTATATGAGAAACCTTCCAAAGCTGCACCTTCGGATTGTGGAGTCGAACGAGGATAACAGATTTGATCGGACGGAGGAAGGGGGCTGCCATAACAACGGCTTCCTAGTATTGGCGGTGTGTAAGGAGTTGGATCATATTTATCAAATTCATCAATTTCATTGAATTCTTCAGTAGAATTATAAACTCGGGATTTTGTCGCAGATGAAAAAGAAACCCTAGCATAAGGAGGAGGCTCGTACTGAACAAGTTTAGGCTCACTGTAACTATAGACTGAGTAATTTGAATCAAATCGAGATTCAAAACCATCATAGTAATTGGAAGAAGATGAAGAAGAATCATAATATTCAATCGGCTCATATGGGATCAAATTAGGCACGTTTTCATAATACTGAATGGGCTCGTATTGGATCAAATCAGGCTCGTGTATATCATAAACAGAGTAATTCACTTGTGATCGAGTTACCGAAGAATCATAATAGGAAGAAGAATTATAAAATTCAGAATCAGAGGAAGTCCAATTGCACTCACCGACATCACCATTGTATCCATAGAAAGCCATTATACAACACAATCAAGCTGTAAAACTGTACAATCAGATATCAAATTCTTGCCATTTGCAGTGAGCAATTTCAAGAATGAAAGGGTACAGTTGGGAATTTTGTAGTTAAAATACTAGCCTTCTGATTCTTATCCAATTATGAGAAAGAAATGGTGCATAATTTCAGATTCAACCTATGATCTGAAATGAATTATGAAAAGATAACGTAGTGGAAAATATTGGTACGAGTGCACAATTATTAGTGCCTTTTCGTCTGCAGGCAATGCTAGAAGTGTCAAGGTCGGCATGATTATGACAGTTGATCGCAATCTCATCAGACTCGGATTCTAGGCCAAGGCCTTGGAATGGCCCAACCTCTCAGGTGATGGGTGGTACAGCACAATTACGGGGATGGTCAACCTTTGGGCCTCATAAATAATCAAGGGAAAATTACACGAATAGGGCCATAAATAGAGGATCAGACTAAAAAATTAAGTCATGTATGTAATTTTCTATATGTTACCTATTGTATATTTTTGACATTTAAATTTTTTATAGTGAGATTTAGAAAACCTTACGGTTAATAAGTTAAAAGGGTTTTTAACACAAAAGGTTCTCTTCATTTGTACTCATTGCACAAATCATATCAACCGCTTCAAATTTGACACATGCACCCTTCTTTCAACTTTTTTCTTATGGAGTTGGTAATTTCTGTCCATTCTGTTAATTCCTTTCGTCGTATATAAGTAATTGGCACAAAATGTTCCTATCATTTGTCTTCATTGCATAAATCATCTTTATCGTTTCAATTTTGACATTTGAACTCCTAAGTCGATAAGTGTCCGCAAAAAAGGCCATTACCGTCTATTTCTCCATCAAAGTATTATAAAATGACTAATTTATTCTCCCCTTTAAATAAATAAATAGAAAAGATAGAAAGAAAATAAAAAAAATGGAAAAAAATTACAGTTAAGAGTTTGAAGTTTTTTAATTAGTATAAACGAGTCTCACGTAAAACAATTTAAAATATTCTAACAAAAGAAAAATATATTACCTTTTAAATTAACCCCACTACCCTACCCTCATCCCCTACCATCCACCACAATCATCAAAATAACTAGAAAGAGAATTAAAATTATAAAAAAGAATTAAAAAATGGTTATTCTTCCCCATCCAATTCCGCCCCTACCATTGGCCACCACCCCAGCTGTAATGACCCGGGTCCCACTTAACGGACTGTTCCGGCCGTTAGATCGACGACGTACTGTCCTCACTGTACCAACATGGGTCTTTTCAGCATTCTTTGTCCTCACTCTACAGTTAAGCGTGCTTGGCTTGGAGCAATTCTATGATGGGTGACCCCCTGAGAAGTTTTCTTGGGGAACGTGCGAGTGAGGACAAAGTATGTTGAAAAGACCCATGTTGATATAGTGAGGACAGTACGTCGTCGATCTAACGGCCGAAACATCCCGTTAAGTGGGACCCGGGTCGTTACACCAGACATTTCTCCCCATCCCACCTACGACACTATCTAAAAGTTTTTCTATTTTTCTATAATCAAGTTTTGTATTCAAATATTTTCTTTTTTATTTTCGGCAAAATTACAAGAGCTTTTAGTGATTTAGCTATTTTCAGCAAATTCTTTCGCTCTGATTTTGTTAAAGTTTCTTTCGCCTCACAAAATGATGTTTAAAGATGGTTTTATTTCTTCTTCTATTAGAGGGTTCTTAGGGTTTTAATTTAAATTATAATCTTAACTGTTACAATTCAAACATAGCTAAGAGAAAAAGAAATCATTTTCTTCTGAAGATTTTTTTTAATATGTTTTAAATTATTTTAAATGGAGTCATTAGCACTATTAATAAAATTTAGGACTTTGATCGTAATTATTGCTTATATCTTTTCTTTCTTTTCTATTTGTTCATTTAAAGAAGATGGTAAATTAATTATTTTACAATACTTTAAGGGAGAAAATAGATGGTAAGGACCTTTTACGCAAAGAAATGTTGATTTGAGGGTCCAAATATCAAAATTGAAATGATACGGATGATTTGCACAACGAATGGAAACAATATGGACGTTTTACACCAATTACTCATATTTGAGGGAATGAATTAAAAAAGGATGGAAAAGACCAACTTTACAAGAAAACGTTGAAATAAGGGTGCAAATACTATTAGAAGCCTCGACTAATGATTGAAATTATGATCAACACATTAATTTGTTAGATCGACCTGAAAACAACGTGAACCATTAGAAGCAACCAAAATAATTAAGTTGCTCATGGCCCAAAGTCACTTATTAGAGGGCTCTTATACTTAGCCCGGCTTGGTCTTTAACATGTCTCTATATATGGCCAATTTGAGCTATTATAGACGTGTGTATTTGCAAGAAAACCGTGGCTGTCTACTTTTATTATACTCTATCTTTGTGATTGGGTTTAACCTTGTTTCCTCTATTGTTTCTCTTGCCGTGTGGTCGCAAATAACCATCAAATTCTTGTCCTTCGTGGGTGAAAGAAAATAGCAATTGAAGTAAATCTTGAGTTGTGGGTTGAGCCTTTTTTATTGATTGGTGTTTGATATTGATAGCGTGAAACTAAGCCCATAATACATCGAATCGAAGATCTTGGAGAGTACTTCCACGATACATAGCACATCTTGACATCAATCTTTTTGCACCCCTTTACTAGTGGGTGTTACTGTTCCTTAATCAATCAAAAAATCAATTTATACTTGCAATCAATCCTTCTACATGTATAAGAAGCTTTTTTATATACCTCCTTGTGAAGCCAATAGTCCATTTTGAGGTGACCTGTTTTCTACAATAGTAACATTTAATATTCTTCTTTGACTTGACTTGATTGTGACTCGCACTAGGTCCATGTTCCGTTTATCTCTTTGGATTTGGGGTGTTGTTGACAAGTTTCATGTTGATGCTAGAAATTGATGTTCTAGCATCAACCATGACTTTTCAAAATGAGAGTGGAAGGAATTTTTTTCTTACCAAGAATGGCTGCTGTAAATGTGAGGAGGTGGGGAATGGAGTGTTCTATGAATAGTAAATTTTAGGGCACGAAAACCTAGGTGTTAAGTGGGCTAAGANGCACAAATATCTAGGTAACCCATTGGGCCAAGAAGTTGGGCCATAAAAATTTTCATAATTTGGCCTAAGTGAAATTGGACCTATACATCAATATTTGGACTAACATAATTGGACTTTAAATTGATAAGGAATTGGATACTTTTAAAATATTCGGGATTGGACTCGATTTGAAATAGATTTAAATTGGTTTTATAACGGCTAGATGAACACGCTTTCGCTTTAAAATTTGGGGAAGCTTAACGACACGTTTTTCAAGATAATAATTTAAAATTCTCGGTCGCTACACTTGGATCACTTAGGAAGGCCATGGACCATGTATACCATTTTAACGGTTGGTTCCTAGCCTGCTTAAATTCCTGATCCAAGCCAAGGTCTTTCCACCACCTAAAATTACAAAAGATTCCCTTTCCAGTTTTCCTCAAAATAGTCCAGAAAATTTCAAACGTGTTCTGTCTTCTTACTTGGAAATTTGGATCAGTTCTTGTTGGTTCACGGTTTGTGCCATGGAAATATCCATTTTTGCGAATTCTTTCAATATTTTTCCCCATCCATTTATGCCTTGGAAATCTCTAATATACTTCTTTGCAGTAAATCTTGCAATGCTCTTGTGATAAGGATGCTTCCATCTGTTACTAACAATTTGGCTACTAAATTCTGCTGCTTCATCAAGAATATCTTCTCCTTCTGTCACGAGCTGAGCAGCTTCATACAATTCCATCAATCCTCTAATATCTTGCTTTAATTTCCCTTCAAACACCCCATCTTTGCCCTTGAATTTGTTGAATATGTCTGTAGCATGCAATGAATTACCAATAACCATTTTTTGCTCAAGTAATTATCAAAATGCAAGCACAACAAAAAGGAAAAAAAAACATAAAAAAAATAAACCAGCGGGAATGAAAAAACCATGTTCTCTCAAGAGCCTGAAGAAAAGTGAAAGATCATGAAGACTGTAATAGGATGTTGGGAGGAGATCAACAGATTAGCTCAAGATCAAACAAATAAACGGAAACCAAAAATACCAATAATCAGAAAAAACTGAAAGCCTAAAACATTAAACAGCAAAACTTAAACAATAAACCAACACAAGAAATTACTGAAGACGAAGTACAGGAACTTATCTTTCGCATAAATGACCACAAGTTCAAGATTCATACAGCCCTTTGCTTAATCACTTAAGATCGAACACCACAATGTTCGAATCAAACCCCAAGGTAGAGGATACAAAGTATAGCACTCAG